ATTTAACCCACTTTTGTTAAAGTCCTCACTGTATATTTGTTTTGATGATCACGTTCCTTTTTTCCCTCTTTCACATTATAGCATAGATGTGTTGACATGATTATTCTTTTCTAGAAAATATCTCAGTACTTGGGATATCTAGTGGTTCCCTGCTAATAAAGTGTTGAATTCACTTTCACTGGTGGTCCAAACTTTTAGGGAACTATCCGAAGTGTTGAACCATTAAAATTCAGATTAAACACTTTCTTGGATTCATCATTCAATGAAAACCAAGAATGGAAGCCATCAGCTGTCCCAATCTATGCTTTGCATTCTTTCAGTGAAACCTGGTTAGCCTAGCATTCTGTTGGCACAGATGCTTCACATATGAAAGTATTTGCTATGTTTACTACTGTATGTTATACACTTCACAACTATAATGACTTCATCAGTACAAGAAAGTGTGCTTTTGATATGCATATCTGAATAGTAGTTACCCCATACCCCCTGAAAGTGAATCTCTTCGATTACCATGCATTCACTACATTCTACACTCAACCAATTCCCTTTCTTTCTGACCAACCATTCCTCCTCTTATCCATCTCAGTGGGAACTGATACAGTCTCAGGGTGGAGAACTGATGTGTTGACGTGATTATTCTTTTCTAAAAAATATCTAAAAAATTCTAAAAAATATCTCAGTACTTGGGATATCTAGTGGTTCCCTGCTAATAAAGTGTTGAATCCACTTTCACTGGTGGTTCAAACTTTTAGGGAACTATCCAAAGTGTTGAACCATTAAAATTCAGATTAAACACTTTCTTGGATTCATCATTCAATGAAAACCAAGAATGGAAGCCATCAGCTGTCCCAATCTATGCTTTGCATTCTTTCAGTGAAACCTGGTTAGCCTAGCATTCTGTTGGCACAGATGCTTCACATATGAAAGTATTTGCTATGTTTACTACCGTATGTTATACACTTCACAACTATAATGACTTCATCAGTACAAGAAAGTGTGCTTTTGATATGCATATCTGAATAGTAGTTACCCCATACCCCCTGAAAGTGAATCTCTTCGATTACCATGCATTCACTACATTCTACACTCAACCAATTCCCTTTCTTTCTGACCAACCATTCCTCCTCTTATCCATCTCAGTGGGAACTGATACAGTCTCAGGGTGGAGAACTGAAACGTTGTGTGATATTCAGCTCAACTGGCAGCCACAGTGGGCCTGAATCCAAGATTAGGACTTCCTATGTTCCACTGGGATCTATTGTTACTTTATATAGTATAAAATGATCCCACCTTCTATTTCAATGAAATTATTGTGGAATCTTGGACACATTGATGGGTAGTAAGAATGCCTCTCAGGGGCTTTTCCAAAACACAAATCCTTGAAATCATGTAAACACACTGCCAATCTAAATTAGCAAAGCTGTTTTTACCTTGCTACTAAAATGCATCTAATACATATTTTAGATGATGCATTTTCATTTTTTTCCAGTGCACTCTGGCTATGTGCCAAAATATAGCTGCCCAAGCAACAAAAACAGAACAATAAAGAGGGAAGGAACTCTTGCATAACAAACATGGTAAGCACTATTCACCACTGAGTCTGAGTGGGAAGCTGCTGAGATGATATAGCAAAACTATAAACATGCTGCAGAGTACACAGAATGATACCAGGTTTCTGAACCATATTTCCCTTTTCTTCTATTTGCATATTTTAAAAGACAATGTACCAGAAGTAATAGAATATCTAAATATCTATTTTAAAAACCCTTTATGAACTCCTACCAAATGAAATATGAAATTATTGTACCATCTGTTCATTTTTTCACATCTCACATTTGTCAGATTAGAGGAATAGGAATGCATCGTGACAAAAGCTTGCCTTATGACTTCAGCATTTATTTGGACTTCTGTTTCAGCACAGCAGGAAATAGCGCCTACACACTGCGTGTAGATACAGTGGTCTCCACAGAGCTACATTCTGACTAATAATTTTAACAAGGTAGTTTCCCCTTATTCTAACAGGCAGTCACCATTATTTGATTCCCTTATACAGAATACCACAATTGCAGCTGTAATAAATGTCTTACCTTGAAACAGGAAGAAACATTTTCTACCTTTCTGCTTTGAGAGGACCCTTTTCATAATACATAGCAAAATATACTACTGAGGGACTCAGGACTATAGAAGGATTCTATCTGGTCAAATAAAATGCTGTCCAGGAGTCCATGAATGTAATGGATGGACATGACAAAGCAGAAATGTATAGATATGTTGGGGAAATTGTTATCCAGTAAAAATGTTATCTTTTCAGTGAGGAACTCCTACTGCTCATCTGAAAACCCACAAGGATCAACACTTGGAAACTATTGAGATGGAGGGTGAAAAAGTACAGAGTTCCCTTGGACACTGTACTTTTGCTTGTGTTCCTCTGCAGGACACTCCCCTCAGAAATCTTGCTTGTTTTAAGTATGATTTGTGAACACACCTCTTCTGACCGGGTTTAAAACTATTTTATCCATATTTACATTTCTTGATTATTAATTTTCATCCTATCATTTTTCAATTTATTTTAGAAAAATAACAACAATCTGTGGGACAGTTCTAGAGCTATTTAATGCATTACAGCAATACAACTGCCACATGCTTGCTCCCATTTCACTCCCCCCTCCCCCGGCGAAACTCTGCAGATCTGTTGGCTATGGCCACCTCTGTCTTGTTTGCCATTTTTACAACAACAGCTCTCCAAAACCTTAAGAGGATAAATGCATTCTTATTTGGAAATCCCAAACACCCTACAGATATTCTTCTGCAATCTGGCAGAATGACTTGATTCCCTGAGACAATTGTCAGCTCTCAAAATGGCATTCGGTTCTGCTAAGAAATTAAGTCTCATAAGCAGTTCCCTTTAAAAAAAATAGTTGCATCACTTCAAATTACTGAATTTATCTACAATTTGTAGGGATAATCTCCTTCTACAAGAATACTATGCAAATACATTTCTGACAAACAGCAAAACAGGTACATCCTTTTATTTTTATGACAAGTCAGTGGCAGGCACAAAGATGTGAATTTTGAATCCAAGATGTGGATTAAGATCTGTTGAATTGGCCTGCTTCCAAGTTAGTCTGAGCCAAAATTGCTTGATTTCATAACCACTAAATCCAGTTCTGAACCAGATGTAGTATCTAGTGTAGAACAGAATAATTGCAGATGAGGTCAGTATAAATTGCCTCACAGGTCTTCAGAGCAGGAGGTTGCTGTCAAACCTTCATCAGTCTCTGTCTTATTTCTATTCCAGTCATGAAGTTGCCACCACAGGGACTACCTCTATCACCTGATGCACATTTCCAGACAAGTTTCCAATGATCTGTATCCTAACAATCAGAATCATCTGGGATTTCCCAGTGCAGTGAAGATTTGCGAACTTCCATCATTTATTCATAAACTACTGCCAGAAATAACTAAAGAAGCAAAAAGCAAAGAGATGTACCAAATGAGAAAAAGACCTCTGTGTTTTTGAAGCATTATTTGTTTTGCTGAGAGAAATGCACAATTATTTGTGTAGAGAATCCATTCTCTCCACATCCCAACAGCACTTTATCATTGTAAAATTAGTTCTTTCCTGCCTTTTCTAAATTGATTACTTCTATTGTACTAATTAGCAAACTATAGAATCTAGCTTAACAACTATAATAAACACATATTAGAGAGTACATAAGCTCCCACAATCACACAGAATGTGTTTCTTAATTGTATTTATTTTCACAGCTTGAACTTCTTTAAAAGCTCAGCACTCACCTAATACTACTACTACTACTACTACTACTAATAATAATAATAATAGTAATAATAATAATAAGTTTTATTTATAGGCTGCCCTATCTCCCCAAAGGGACCAAGGGTGGTTTCCAACCAAAAAATGACAAACATTCAATGCCAGAATATACAAACAAAGAGAAACAAGCAACTCCCCAGATCCCAAAAGAAAATTCACAACTATAACAACATTAAAATTATAACAGATAAACAAAAATTAAGTAATAACATAACTGATCAACCACTGTGTGTCTAACATTAAAGAACTCAAGTAAAAAAGTGTTCCAAAGGCAGAAATTAAAAGCATGGCAAAATAGTAATTCTCTTCCATAGTCTAAACCCTGCTCCACTCTCACACCACCCCTTTTCACCCCCTCTCTCTTACTCTTTCCCCTTTTATGATCAAAAATGTGGCTTTAATTTTGTTCTATGCAGGAGCCTCAGCAGAGTAAGTTAACACATTTAAAATGCAGCAGGGAGGTGAATGATTCCCTGCCCAAAATGGCAACAAGAATAGTAGACAATCAGGACAAAAATCAGCAATGAGGATGTTCAGTCCCAAATGACCCATATCCATCCCAAAAAGGAAGGTGATTTAAATCTGGGAAAGCATGGGGGGAGGTTGGAGGAGACATTTAAGTAGCTTGTATGAGTCATCCCAACTTCTTTTTCTCTGAGCTGTGGCAAAGGTTATCTATAACAGACAGGCCGAATATTGCCCCTGACAAATCCTTTTTATAAGGAAGAGAGATTGTTAATTTCCATTCATTATATTGGTAATCTCTCCAATGATCTCTATGTTCATTTAATGGTGATAGACTTGAACTCAATAAGAAAGAGTACAGACTCTTGGGATGATTCTACTAAATCACTATTTGCATAGCATATTCTCTCAAACTACTGAGCCACTTCCAAATTAACCAATCAAAATAATGTATATTCTGATCAAGACAGCAAATATGATCCTGTATCCCTCCAAAGAATCTTCACACCGTCAACATTAGAGAGATATGTCAAATACTTAAATGCAAGAATCCAATTTTTCAGGAACCTAATTAAAATATAAGCACCATATAAAATTCCTAGGGCTCGAGTTTTACGTACAATTAACTAGATTTTTTAACAGGCAGAATTCTAATAATATTAATGAGATTTTGTTTTTGAAACCATGTGTTATTCATTACCTCCCAATCCAGGTCTCAGTCGATTATCATATCCATCCAGAAGTCTGTCTAGAATTCTTGTAAAGATGGTGATGTTATTTTTTGCTTCATCTTCATTGGGGTCAGCCAAGGATGATCTAAACAGACATTTTAAAAATTATGTTAGGAATGCTCTATATACACTTACTATGCAGATACTGCTTAGAACTGAATAATCCATGTTTTCTTTTAATGCACATTAACTAAATTTTCATGTTAAATAATTGATCTGGAACTTCCTCTTTCACACAAATATGGGAAACTTCACTGGGACTAAATTCTTGCCCTCAATACCCTTCATGGGCTAAACTTATGCTTCAAAATACTATAGAAATCACATCCAAAAATGTCCCTGTCCAGTTTTTCTTTTGAATTGGGGACTGAGGGAAAGCTATAATCCCTCATCAAAAAAAGATTCACAAATTGTTTAATTTTTAAAAAGAAAATTTTGCCCTAGGTAAGCTTGATGGCTGCAACTTCACTGGAGGAGTACATCTCGCCTTTCGACCATACTTTGTCCTCTACCCTGCTTTAACCCATCACTTTGACTCTACATTAAGTCACTTTTTTTCTTTCTCTGGTTTCTTAGTATTTCCATCTTCAGCCAAGGTACCCCACATTTTTCCACTAGCAGGGGCCATAATTAGGTTAGCCTCAGGTGTACATGTTTCCATTACCATCCACCATTCTTTCTTTACATTTTTGCTTCTTTTCCTAGAATCACAAAAAAAAAATACTAGCCACTCTTGGTGATTAAAAAGAGAACAAGATGGCACTTCAGTATGATGTGGCAAGACAATTATTATTTTAAAGATTCAAAAGAAAAATAGAGGCAAACCCATTGGTGCAGTTTATACCACTTTAGCCAGATTGCATCCAACTGCTATAAGTCAGCTGCTGAAAAACAACATATCTAATTTTATCTGGTGATGCATTTGAAGCCCAATAGGAATTGAAGGTTACCAAAGCAAACTCAGAAATTGATCTCTATTTTTCCAAAACCTACTCCTATTATGTCTGAGGTTTATGTACAACTAATATTCTAAAAGAGAGACATTGTTTGAGTATTGGGCTGTTACTATGGAGATAAATCATTGCTTGGACATGGAAGCCCAGTCTTTGGGCCCTTCCACACAGCCATATAACCCAGAATATCAAGGCAGAAAAACCCACAATATCGACTTTGAACTGAGTTATCTGAGTCCACACTGCCATATATTCCAGTTCAAAATAGAAAATGTGAGATTTTGTTCAGATGTGTGGAAGGGACCATAAATGGAGGCAAAGGCAACCCCTCTAAACAAATCTTGTCAGGAAAACTCTTTGTGCTCAAAAGGTGCCAGATCACATCCAGTCTTGGAAGTTAAGCAGTGCCAACCCTGATTAGTACTTGGATTGGAGGCTGCCAGGAAATGCCAGGTGCTATGGGCTCTATTTCAGAGGAAGGATCTGGCAAAACCACCTCTGAGTGTTCCTTATCTAACAAAACCTTGAGAAATTTATGGTTTCACCTTAATTCATCAGCCAGCTTGAAAACACACACACAGTAACAATGATACTCCTCAAGAAACCCTATTCCTGCTCTCCCAAGACTAAAAAAAAGCATTGTCGATGAGGAAAGGATAATTGTAGGAAGATCATATTACAGACACAACGCAGGCCTCTATTGAAATATTTAGGTAGGTACTCTTGATGGGATGGCATTATAAATGACAACACCACAATCACACATCCCAGTTGAGATTTATGGGTTCTACAAAGTTTCCCAGCTACTGGGGCCCACCTCCTTCACTGGGGTAACTATGCCTGGTAATGATAAAATGAACCAACTAGCCTTTCAGGCAGTGGGTACATGTAGTAACATTTTTTAAAATGTAAAGAAAACTCAGGTGAGGGGAGGGGAAATGTGAACCAACTAAATAGCAAGCCTGAAAATACCAGACCATTGTAAGTTTATTGCTGCCTCATTTAATGAAGAGATCCAGCATTCAAATAATTAAAATGATGAACATTTGAACTGTTTGTAAATGTATAAACTTAGTTACTAGCACTAAATGCTAACATTACAGAACTGCAATGATGCTGGGGATTTTTTAATAACTAGGAGTTGAAAAAATGTTTTGTGTTGGAGGCTTTGCATGAAAAATGGTGCAAAATGTTGGAGTTTCTCTTTATGTCTGAAAGCACAGTCAAAATTCTGCAACTACTGTAGGGTGAAAGAATAGTAGGATGGGAAATATCAAATCCTTTCATCCTGGACTACCAATGGTTATCTCTTACAAAGATACCCTGCCACAACAAAACATGGAGTGCCTCTTTCATGTCTGTTAACAGGTTCTTGGTACAATGATATAAAAAAGCAGCAGACTAAAGGAATTATAAGAAGCCTTAAACATTAAGAAGGCTCATAAATTATTTTGCTTAAATTGTTATCAGTAATAACAACAATACTTCTTTCAGTGTATTTCAATGGACTTCCAGAAACAGGAACAATAGTGACCCATATATAGCAAGAAAAATGACCACTTGGCTACAATACATTGAGAAGTAAGCAAAAGTAATTTTAGCCCTGCATCCTCCTACCCTTTCATTAAAAGCATCAGCTCATCCAGTGTGAGGGATCCCCTGCTGTCCAGTTAGACTGGTGCTGAAAAGCTTATGTAGCTTGTTGAGAAAATCCAGACTGAGGCCTTTTGAAAAACTAATATTTTTCTGCAAAAAATACATGTGACTTATGGTACCATATTATATCCCTTTCACTATCTTTCATAGAATCATAGATCTGGTAGAGACCTCATGGGCCATCATGTCCAACCCCCTGCCAAGAAGCAGAAAAATCACATTCAAGCACCCCTGACAAATGGCCATCCAGCCTTTCTTTAAAAGCCTCCAAAGAAGGATTCTTCTTCTTTGGAGGCTTTTCAGGTATATAGCGTATACATTGCTCTCTCCCTATGATCCTCAGTTATTTGTGAAATTCTAGATGTTTATGCTGTCACCCAGTGAACAAATAATGTGATTCTGTTGGTTTAATTATTGCAATGTGAGCACCATGTGAAAGAAAGCTAAAAAATCATTAGGCAAGAAAACTTTACTTTTTATGAACTAAAGGTACCTTTAAGTAATTAACCAAAGAAAAAAGAATATTACTGCTGTCCATGCATTCAATAATGAGAATAAACAATTTCAAGGCAAATGTAAAATAGATCAGTCTGTGGCATTTCAAGACACTTCCTCCACAACCTATAAGCATTTGATTTATAATCTAAGTCCTTCAATACCACAGGTGATCTGTCATTCACATTTTAAATGCTATTGTTGTTATTCAAAGAAACTAGTCCTTGTTGGCATGTTGTTAGTCAAACCTAAGGCTGACAATCCTATAGACAGCTTAGAAAACTCACAGCAACCCAAACCTATAAGCATTCATTGTATCTGTTGACTCCTTGACAACAGTGAGATTTACTCATTTGAGTAAGAGACCAGGCCCACAGTGGGTAAACTAGTACTGCAGCATCTTTGCTGGCTAGCTAGAACTGAAAACATTTTAAAGAAAAAACAATACTAATTTTGCTACTAAGATGTGCAGCCAATGCACTGTTGCACTGCATTTTTGTCTTGTTTTTTACTATAACACTTAAGGGTCATTTGATTTTGAGAAAAAAATCTAATAAAGTGACATCTTATCTTGGAAACTACTGCAGTCCAAACTGTGCTTTTACAAGAAAATGAAATAATAAAATGCTATTAAGTGGATGCACGCAGAAGGTAAGAGCAAACCTAAATAAGAATATGTTCAGCTTAGAACCATAGCTTATCAAACAATACCAAAAGTTGATTATTAAATTGGGCTATTGTTTTCATTTATAGGATTTTGAAATTATATACTATCTCCACCTAGAGGTTTAAAGATTAAATGTCTCAGTGTTCTGTTGACCAAAAAATATTTCACATCCCAACATACACCCAAATGCAAAGTATCCCAGGATTTATGCTCCCCAAGAGAAACTTTAGAAGAATCTCTTCCTCATATTCCATGTGGATAGGCATGATGGAACAAAAAAGGTGATACAATGATTCCAGAAAACATCCAAAATCTTCAATCACCACAGAAAATAATGTCAAAAGTGAGTTTGATTTTCATAGAATAATAGAGTTGGAAGAGACCTTGTGGGCCATCCAGCCCAACTCCCTTCCAAGAAGCAGGAAAATTGCATTCAAAGCACTCCCTACAGATGGCCATCCAGCCTCTGTTTTCTCTTCTCTCAGAGATAATCACCACAAATAAATCACTGGATTTTAGAAGAGCTTGTTCAGCACAAGTTTTTCAACCTTTCACTAAACTCAGGACTTTCCCATTTACTTTACCTGCTCTGAATACTAGGCAGTGTTGTATTTCTAGAGCCAGATTCTGTGCATAGAGCAAGCTGCACAAGCCAGTTACCAGAACTAACTGCTAGCAAACAAGACAAGCTCTGTAATTTTGCTGTTGATGAAGAAGCAGCACCTCCTCTCACCTTGCAGACAAGCATGCCAAGAAAAGGAGAAGAACCAGCTGCATCATGTAGGACATCAATTTCCTCTTCATAGTTGCTTCCTTGCAAATCCTAAGGAAAGAAGAGGAGGAAGGGGAAGCGTTTAGCACAGCTCTGTTTCCACCAAGCCATATCTTCTTCAACGCAAGCTGTCATTTCCATGGAGCCTTCACATCCTTGGGTCTTCCCTCCCGCGCCTTAGAACCAACAACTTATTAGATCTCCGTCATCCTCCCCAATCATGCGTTGTTCGTACATGCAGCGCATAATCAGAAGTGACATACGGACAGAGGCATCAGAGGTTGCTTTGCTTTTCCCCAACTCCGTCCCCATGTAATGCGTGCCATCTAAAGGCATGCCAGACTTTTCCCCCTACGTATTGATTCATCAGATCAGTGCCTCCGCTTTTCTGCTTGTGCAGAAAAAAAAACCCCCAAAACCCTCTTTTTAAAATCCAGTTCTGGCAAAAAGATGAGGTTGGGTGGCAGAATGAGAGAGAGAGAAAGAGAGAGACTGGTGAGAGGGGTTCGTTGACATCTCTGTGAACCGAAGTGGCTCAGCTCCTTCACAAGGCTGAGCATGTTTGACAGCTGCTCCGAAAGAGCCATCCCTGCCACAGTCATACTGACAGATATAGGGGAAACAAACATCAACAACAACAGCCAGGGCAAAGTTGCAAGACCCAAATCAAAAAAAGAAGAAGGGTTCACTGAAGGAGGGTGCTTCTCTTGTTTAAGGGGGGGAAAGAAGGAAAGGAAGCTTCACACCAAAGACCCTTTCTCTGCTTCTGCTTCTGAGGAGGGTTCACTGAAGGAGGGTGCTTCTCTTGTTTAAGTGGGGGGGGGGGGAGAAGGAAAGGAAGCTTCAGACCAAAGACCCTTTCTCTGCTTCTGCTTCTTCTTCTTCTCCCACCCCCTGCCACACACTCCACACACAAGACACCCACGTTTCCTAGTCTTCCTTGTGCAGAGGGAACGACTCCCTCGCCCCCCCCCCTCCAAGCAACTCACTCACTCTCTTTCCATAGAGGGAGGAGGAGAAGGGGGGGGGGGGTAACTGAGGAGCCTACCTTGGGAGCACCAGGAGGCGCCAAAAAACAAACAGGACTTGGTGAGGCGGAGGTGGGAGTCCTCCCTCGCGAGGCTCAAGACTGGGAGAGAGGGGAAGGGGGGGGGGGGAGAGAAAGAGAGAGAGAGGCTGCTTATAAGGCGACTGCGAAGAGGAGCGGACCCGGAGGAGAGGTTCCCTGTGCCTTGTGCTGTGTGTGAGTGTGTGTCTGCGCGCGCGCGTCGGCGCGCGAGGGCAGCGGCGCGAGGCGGGGGTAGCCGAGTAGACGAGCAGCGACCAGTCAGTCAGTCAAGGGATGGGGATGTCTCTGTGTGACTGACTTGTCTGCATGCAAGAGAGAAGACTGGAAGACTTGGGGTGGGGGGAGTGGGGAGTGTGAGTGTGAGCGAGCGCGCCGGCGCGCGCACACACAGGCGGCAGCTGCAGCTGGCACGCGCCCCAGGGGCTCCAGAAAGAAGAGCGGGGAGAGCGAGAAAAAAAAAACGGGGAGGAGTCATCGAAAAAAAGGGGCGGAGTTACAGATGTAAAAAAAAAACCAGCTGCGGATACCCCACCGCTGGCGCGTGCTGCCTCACCGCTAGCGCGTGCTGCCACAGCTGCCCCTTTCCCAGGGCAGAAGCGAGTCTAAAGGCAGGCAGGCAGATTCTGCCGGGTCCTAGCGCGCCTCCCCCTACTTTCTATCTAGCTCAGTGTTTCTTAACCTGGGAGTCGGGACCCCCGAGGGGGTTGTGAAGGGGTGTCAAAAGGGTCACCAAAGACCATCAGAAAACATAGTATTTCCTGGTGGTCATTGGGATTCTCTGGTTGCTTCCAGCGAGACACTCGCTGGAACACCCCAGCAAGCGAGAGTCCAAAAGTGGCAGGCCCAAACCCAGCACCTCAATTCATGGCTGATACCAGATGAGCCCCCCCCCCCGGGCGACTTGGAAGGCGCTGAACAGACTGCGCTCTGGCACCACGAGATGCAGAGCCAATCTTAAGAAATGGGGCTACAGGGTGGAATCCTCGGCATGCGAGTGCGGAGAAGAGCAAACCACTGACCACCTGCTGCACCTCCCTCTTCTTTCTATCTAGCTCAGTGTTTCTTAACCTGGGAGTCGGGACCCCCGAGGGGGTTGTGAAGGGGTGTCAAAAGGGTCACCAAAGACCATCAGAAAACATAGTATTTCCTGGTGGTCATTGGGATTCTCTGGTTGCTTCCAGCGAGACACTCGCTGGAACACCCCAGCAAGCGAGAGTCCAAAAGTGGCAGGCTCAAACCCAGAACCTCAATCCATGGCTGATACCAGATGAGAGACTCCCCCTGGGCACACAGAAAACTGGGCGACTTGGAAGGCGCTGAACAGACTGCGCTCTGGCACCACGAGATGCAGAGCCAACCTCAAGAAATGGGGCTACAAAGTGGAATCCACGACATGCGAGTGTGGAGAAGAGCAAACCACTGACCACCTGCTGCAATGCAACCTGAGCCCTGGCACATGCACAATGGAGGACCTTCTTGCGGCAACACCAGAGGCACTCCAAGTGGCCAGATACTGGTCAAAGGACATTTAACCAAATACCAAATTTGCAAAATCTGTGTGTTTTTTTCCTTTTTCTTTTTAATCTGTGTGTTTGTTTTGCTCTGTTAGAATTGTGATACAATGGTTGCTGATGACACGATAAATAAAATTGGGATTCTGTGTGGGATGTTTGACTCAATTCTATTGTTGGTTGAGTTCAGAGTGCTCTTTGATTGTCGGTGAACTATAAATCCCAACAACTACAACTCCCAAATGTTAAGGTCTATTTTCCCCAGACTCCACCAGTGTTCACATTTGGGCATACTGAGTATTCGTGCCAAGTTTGGTCCAGATCCATCATTGCATGAATCCACAGCGCTCCTCTGGATATAGGTGAACTACAACTCCCAAACTCAAGGTCAGTGTCCACAATGCCCTCTTCTTTCTATCTAGCTCAGTGTTTCTCAACCTGGGGGTCGGGACCCCTGAGGGGGTCGTGAGGGGTGTCAAAGGGGTCGCCAAAGACCATCAGAAAACATAGTATTTCCTGGTGGTCATTGGGATTCTGTGTGGAAAGTTTGACCCAATTCTACTGTTGGTCGAGTTCAGAAGGCTCTTTGATTGTAGGTGAACTATAAATCCCAGCAACTACAACTCCCAAATGTCAAGGTCTATTTTCCAGAAAGTCCACCAGTGTTCACATTTGGGCATACTGAGTATTCGTGCCAAGTTTGGTCCAGATTCATCATTGCATGAATCCACAGCGCTCCTCTGGATATAGGTGAACTACAACTCCCAAACTCAAGGTCAATGCCCACAAAACCCTTCTAGTGTTTTGTGTTGGTCATGGGAGTCCTGTGTGCCATGTTTGGTTCAATTCCATCATTGGTGGAGTTCAGAATGCTCTTTGATTATAGGTGAACTATAAATCCCAGCAATTACAACTCCCAAATTACAAAATCAATCCCCATCCCCCCCCCCACCAGTGTTCACATTTGGGCATATTGGGTATTTGTGCTCAATTTAGTCCAGTGAATGAAAATATATCCTGCATATCAATTTATAAGAGTACTAAAATGAAAGGTATCAAGTAGTAACGAAAACAATATTATAGTTGGGGGTCATCACAACATAAGGGACGGCATTAAGGGGTCACGGCATTAGCAAGGTTGAGAACCACTGATTTAGCTGCTTCACGGCCTGTTTAGAGTCAGTCAGTCCTCTCCAGGCGCTAAACCACGGAGAGAGGCGAAAAGAAAGAACAGAGGCAAAGAGCAGGTGTCCCCCTCCGCCTCAGCCGAAGTGGAGAAGGTCCAACTCGAGCCCTGAGGCCGGCTCGGTGGGAGTGGAGTTCCTGCAGCTGGTTTCCCTCTGCCTCCCCGCCCTCTCCGCCTGCCTGCCTCCATCCCTCGCCGTGCCTCTTCTGCCTGATCCATCTAGACAGGTTGCTGCAATCCCCGCCACCCGCTCACACACCAGAGGAACGTGCGCCCAGAAGTTTGCTTTGGTTGGCACGAGAGGAAAGGAAGAGGAAGAGGAATATTGTGTCCAATTCTGGGCACCACAATTCAAGAGAGATATTGACAAGCTGGAATGTGTCCAGAGGAGAGCGACTAAAATGATAAAAGGTCTGGAGAACAAGCCCTATGAGGAGCGGCTTAAGGAGCTGGGCATGTTTAGCCTGAAGAAGAGAAGGCTGAGAGGGGATATGATAGCCATGTGAGAGGAAGTCATAGGGAGGATGGAGCATGCTCTGGAGACTAGGATGCGGAACAATGGCTTCAAACTACAAGAGAGGAGATTCCATCTGAACATGAGGAAGAACTTCCTGACTGTGAGAGTCGTTCAGCAGTGGAACTCTCTGCCCCGGAGTGTGGTGGAGGCTCCTTCTTTGGAAGCTTTTAAACAGAGGGTGGATGGCCATCTGTCAGGGGTGATTTGAATGCAATATTCCTGCTTCTTGGCAGGGGGTTGGACTGGATGACCCATGAGGTCTCTTCCAACTCTTTGATTCTATGATTCTATGATTCTATGAAACAGAAAGAGAGAGAGAGAGAGGCCCTCCACGTGACTTTGCTACCACCTTACTTACTTAGGCGATCCCTCCTTGGATGAGTAGGATAGTCTTCCATGATCAGTATTCTTGTGGATCTCTAGGTGGCTGTGGAGCCCTATTCTTGATCTCCCACAGTGAGGGCAGGCGGTCTCGGTCGGGGTTGGCTTGATGCGCCTTCCTCCTGGCACGTTTCTCTCTTTCACCTTCCATTCGTGCCTCTTCAAATTCTACAGCACTGCTGGTCACAGCTGACCTCCAGCGTTCAAGTGCCAGGGTTTTCCAGTTCTCAGTGTCTATGCCAGAGATTTTAAGGTTGGCTTTGAGCCCATCTTTAAATCTCTTTTCCTGCCCACCAACATTCTGTTTTCCATTTTTGAGTTCGGTGTAGAGCAACTGCTATGAGAGATGGTGGTCAGGCATCTGGACAACGTGGCCGCTCCAGCAGAGTTGGTGGCGGAGGACCATCGCTTCAATGCTGGTGGTCTTTGCTTCTTCCAGTATGCTGACGGAGCCCCCGGTGGCACAGTGGGTACAACCCCTGTGCCGGCAGGACTGAAGACCGACAGGTAGCAGGTTCGAATCCGGGGAGAGGCGGGTGAGCTCCCTCTATCAGCTCCAGCTCCTCATGCGGGGACATGAGAGAAGCCTCCCACAAGGATGATAAAACATCAAATCATCCGGGCGTCCCCTGGGCAATGTCCTTGCAGATGGCCAATTCTCTCACAACAGGATGCTCCTGACACGACAAAAAAAAAAAAGCATGCTGATGTTTGTCCACTTGTCTTCTCAAGAGATTTGCAGGATTTTCCAGAGTCAATGCTGATGGAATCGTTCCAGGAGTTGAATGTGACATCTGTAGATAGTCCATGTTTCGCAGTCTTGATGGACTGTCACCTTGTCATGGTGAGGGGGCTTGCTTTTTCCAATGAACCTGCAGGCACAGCGACTGAAGTCGTGCACTCCCAGGGGTGGCTGCGGAGGAGGTTCCAGACCAAGCACAGTCTGAAGACCCAGGGACCTCAACGGCGGAGCAGGCGGAAGATAACATGGTACATGTTACAATG